TGATCACCAGAGGTGCCATACACACAAAAACAAATACAAGCATATCCACATATAGTCAACTAAAATATGTACATAACAACGTGTCATCAAAATATAACTTGACATTTTTTTTTTTTTTTTTTCAATTTGAGTGGTCTCTAAAACTTCGTTTTTCATCCGCTTTTAAACATATGAAAAATGTTGTTACGTTATTTTGCATTACGGTGATGATATGTAGATATGTACATATGTATATGTATATACTTATCTAAATAATATATAAATGCCATACTGACGACTTATTACCAAATATGTCAATGATGTCATGCTCACCTGAAGAAATAGTTAATTTATTTGCAAAATTTACAATTCTTCTCACACACTAATAATACATGTCTATACTTACATACATACATACATGTATAAATATAGGTTTGTACTCTTGTGTATAGCCATTAAGGTGGCTTTGTATGTGCTTTGCGCCGCGTCTTTATGTCATCACGATAAACTGCTATTGCGCCTTAATTTCTAAGCGAAGCTCCCAAGCGAGCCGAAACCTATAACCGGTTGCGAACATGTTCTTAACGGCGCCTTTGTGCGCTGTAGAATTCTCGTAATTGCATCTTTACACACATATTGTTTCTAATTAAAACGAGTATTGCAAATAATTGCGAACTAATCTCTGCAATGCATATTTATTTTGTAAGTGAAATTCTAATTGCATTTAACATGTCAGTGGGTGAGAGTATATACCAAGTAGGTACATGTATGTATGTATGTACATATATATAGTGCTACGTATGTATGCATATATGAAGATTCTTCAATAACGTATGTATGTATAGTTTTGAAAAATAGTAATAGTACGAGTTTGTACCATTTGCGCCGAAGCACAAATAAAAAATAAAAATTCCATAGGAGACTTGATTTTGATTGACCAGTTTGTATGGGAGCTATATGATATAGTAGAACGATTTGGAAAATTTCTCCAGACATTGTAGCTTTGTCTTTGGTCATAATTCATGCTAAATTTCGTGACGATATTTTGACAAATAAAAAAGTTTTATAAACAAAGATTTGAGTTGGATTGTCCAGTTCGTATGACAGCTATATGCTATAACAGTACGATTACAACAATTTCTTCTGATATCTTAGCATTGTCTTTAAAATTAATTCCTGCCAAAATTTGTGAAGGTAACTCGTCAAATAAAAAAGTTTTCCGTACAAGGATTTGAATTTGATCGTCCAGTTTGTATGACAGCTATATGCTATAGTTGTCCGATATCGATGGTTCCCACAAATAAGCAGCTTCTAGAGAGGAAGAGAACATGTGTGAAGTTTCAGATCGATATCTCAAAAACTGAAGACTGAAATTTCACATGGATATCTCAAAAACTGAGACACTAAATCGTGTATATACAGACAGACAATTACACAGATGGACTTAGCTAAATCAACTCAGCCCGTCATGCATCTATTTTATAGGGTCTCCGACGTCTCTTTTTGGTTGTTACAATTTTCTTGAGTATAAAAAAATATTTTAGAGTATAAAAATCGACCCGCTCTAATATATATGCTCATACAATATAATGACTACAAATGTGCGGGTGTGAATATTACTCATTCATATTTAGTGCGTGAAGATCACAATCATCTCAGCAATTCGTGGAGCATAACTCAAGCTAAAACGTAATTAAGCATAAAGCTCATCATTTGAGGTTAATTCCTCATCCCCTTCAATTAAAATTAATATCAACAAATTTAGCAATTAAACGCTACAAAAAATCAGAATATAAAATCAAAAGTTAGGAAATTACATATTCAAGTGGCTAAATATTCTGGTCACACATATTTGATTTGGCTTTATATTATATATATAAGACATTATACATACTTATCAACAACTGAAATGCAAAACAGCGTATCATCAAAAATCAAAATTGAGTTTTTTATTGTTTACGATTCACTATTTCATATTACATAAAATTGTCAACTTCCGCTGTCAGCTTTAAAAATATATAACSATTATATAACCAAAACTAAAATTTTTTTCGATATAAGTGTTTTTTATTATATATAATTCCTTCGCCTATAAGCTTATGAAAAGTGATGTTACGTTATTTTGTAGTATAGCTGACGATATACATATACTCTCACATCTACATATGTTATGTGGCTATATAAAGAATTTATAATTTGAAAATTTATTCTGATGCAGTAATCGCTATTTGTTAGCGTTTTCGAACGTATGTCACATATATCATATATTCACATTTATATATTTCATTTTGGAACAGCTTTACGAAAGCAGACATTCCGCCTTTTAACTATGTATTCCAAATTTCATAATCTTTCTTTCTATTTGCCAATTCTTCAACTGATTTTTTCGTAATGCCTATATTTAGCAATTAATTCATTTGTGGATGAGATCATATTGAGGTTAAGTGGTCAGAACTGCAACCATATGTGCGATGAGTTCAACGACATAGTAATTATGTGTCTATATAAATATGCGAATTTATATACTTCTATATAGTTAAGTAATACTCATATTTAGTTTTTAAATTAGCATCTTTTTCTTAAATCTTCTTTCTTGAATAACCAATAATTGACGTTCAGTTAATTCAGATACACTTAGCTTAGGTTATACCGGCCAGCTGTCATGCCATATATAGACCCACTGTTCCGTAGTAATGCCAAAAGGAGGTTCAGCATGACACGAGCTTAATTATTCGTCATACAGAACGTCATCGCCTTTTGGAGTGATGTCATAACTAATTTTTAAATCAAGTATCCTAGATACGAGTATGTAAGACGAGTCTTAGATAGGGCTGAACAGAAACAAAGGAAGTGTTCCAGTGTCTCTCTCATGCCTACTTCTCTGCACTCTCTGCATATATCGTCGTCTCATCCGGATCGTATATGCTGCAAGTAAGTTAAGGCCTTTAATGAGTCCAATGACCGTGCTGCAATTTTTTCGAAACCATGCGTGGTTTTCTTCAAAGCACTTGATCTTAACGATCGTGCATATCTTTAAGGCCTTCCCATCCCATCCCATCTTAATCCATCACTCAGGCCTTTTGAAAATTTCACCGTGTATCTCATTTAGCGACTTGCGTACTTCATATGCTGGTTGGGTAGCCAGACGGATGGTACTTTTAGGAATCCCATAAACTGTTTCGTTTCCCAGAATGCCTTTGTTGCCAGGAAACCAGTATATTTAATTTATTCGTTAACGTTATTTAATGTGCGATTTTTTGCCCCAATTTACGTCCAGCTATCAACGTATATATGGATCGCCTTTAGGTTGTTTGCTTGGTTCTCAACTATATATCTCAATTTCCTTTCTTAAACGTAAAGATCACAGCCTGAAACATACTGTAGTATTCCAGAAACTTGAAAGGTCATTTAAGATTCAGTAATAGATTCCGGCGTCTACTGCATAAATCCTCCTTGATCGTCTATGTACTTGTTGTAAGTTGAACGATGATTCGACCAGGCCAAAAACCATTTCATGAATAACTTGTGGATTTTATCCGCAACTGAATCGACCGCACCCATCAGATGAAAGTGAGCCTCATCGGTGAAAATGATTTTCTTAAAAAATCATTATCGTTTTCAAGTTGTTTCCAATAAAAATCATCACATTAAAAACGTTTGCGGTATGAATAATTTTATATCCTTTCCCAAATCCTTTCTCAAAACTCGCCAGGTGGTGATTTGAGACTGTCCAAATTTTTGCAAACGTAATGGAATCGACAAATTGCGATCTTCAGCTATACTTGCCTGAACGGCAGCAATATTTTCATTACTTCGAGCCGTTCCTTGTCTTGTTAACACTTAAAAATTATGTGAAGACAATGTACTCACGAAAATTTCAGCAAATCGACGAATAGCGTGCACAGGTGGACGATTATTACGACCTTAAAGTGGCAAAAACCCACGAAAAATTGGAATTGGAGAACGATTACTTTGATAATAAAATTGAATAATTCATCAACTTTGCTCAAAAATTACAAATTATAATAAATCTTTTACTTTATTCTATCGTTTCAGTTCCCGGACATCCACAGGTAATCCGTGGCTGCTTCTATGGTGATGTTTCGAATACGCAATCCGGCTGCCAAGCCGATCCCTCCTTACCATTCGTGAAGCAGTTGTCGTGCGATGTCTGCACTGGCAATCTCTGCAATGGCTCCAGCGCCACAGCCCCCATAGCCGCCGCCATTGTACTTTTCTTCGCATTGGCACGTATGCTGTCCTAAGTTGCTGGGTCGCCACAGTAATCTGCGCTGTTTCACAAAATACCATACAAAATTGAGTATAGGACCTTAATTTCTCCAACAAACAGCGTTCTAAATCTCAATACTGTATTCTTAGTGTAGTGTACTCGTAGCTTTGTGCATTTTATTTGATCTTTTTACAATCATATGGCGATGGATTGCGCCCGGAATATGCGTTTATATGAAAAAACACTGGACAAGTGTGTATATTTAAGTGCTCTTGTATGTTTTTAATTTTATTAAATAAAATATGTGTAAATTGTAATTTTTTCTATCAGTACCAATTATTATATTTTTTAAGTATTCCTTATATTATTAAATTTTATTCAGAATCTAACTTCTAATAATAGTTACTAAATGTATTGACAATGTCATTAATGCAGGGCAACAATAATTTCAATTAACTGAGGACTTGAGTGATGGTTGCTAATTTGTCCTGAGTTCAGTTGAATTGGAAGGCGATTTCGAGGCACTTTTGCCACTCTGATTAAGGTGTCTCCAAAATAGACGTTCTGAACGCACCAACCGCCTCTTCAGGTGCCGCAAAAGTTTGACCTCTTAGTTCATTTCTTACGAACGGAAATAAAAGGAAGTCATTAGGTGTCAAGTCAGGACTATATGGTGATTGCCTCATTAAATCGATGGTTTGAGTGCTTAAAACTTCTGCTATTTTAATGTGTAAGAGCTTGCATTATCGTGGTGAAGAGTGGTCCGTCTTCCCCGATTAGTTTTCCTAATTTCTTGAAAGGCAAACAAATGGTTGTGTACCAATCAGAATAAACAGTTCTGCGTTTTTCTGGTGGTATGGTTGCGACATGTCCATATTACACAAAAATACAGGCAACCACTTGCTTGGTTTCGGCTCTTTTTGAAACACCTGTTGCTGTTTATTTTCGGGCTCATGCGCATAAATGCACGATTAATCATCTGTCGCGATGTCATAGACGGATTTCGAAGCATCGCTATGGTATTTATCTCGATCAATCAACACGAGATTTTGAGCGATTTACAAATTGTGTGGTATCCAAAGTTTTCGAATGTTCATGTTGGCAAATGTATGCTGATCCCACTAATGCATCTAGTTGTCTCAATCTCACTATAGGTCACATGAAGATCATCGATAATTTCCTGAACAACAACTGATTTTGGACGTCTTCACGAAATTCGTCTTAAAATACCGACTGAATTCAGCATACCATTAATAAACACTTGTTTTTGATGTAACTTTATTGTCAATAATTGAATTAGGTTCGTCGATGCACTGTTGCTTAGTTAATTCTCGTCGAAAGTTGTGAAGAATAATCGCACAAAAATGTTTCAGATTTAGTTCCATTTTTGTTTTTTTTTTTGCTGAGATGAATATTTTAAGTAACTGTAAACAACACAAAAAAGTACCGGGAAATTGTAAATAATTATTTATCATTATTTAACAATATTTATTTTGTCGCGTTCAAAGTAATTCCCACCTGATGTAATATGCTAATGCCAACGATTTTTCCAGTCCTCAAAACACTTTTCAAAAGTGCTTAACTTTTGAGGATGGCTCCTTCAGCGAATTTTATTTTATATTTTCGATTGACTGAAAACGATTTCCATGGAGCCGCAATTTCAGTTTGGGGAACAARAAAARATCACWCAGGCAAAATSTGGTGAATATGRTGGTTGATCAATGYTATTTATTACRTTTTTGGCTTTAAATGCAATCGTGTAAAATTCTTGAATTGATTTTCCTCAATTCCGGCCTCAATACGAGAACTCATTATTGACCGTCTGTCCCTCCGTAACAAATTCATGATGCACCAAACCAAGAATATCGAAAAACGATAAGCATCGCCTTRATTTTTAAGCGGTTTTTGCGTACTTGCGTGTCCAACTTATAAATCCATGACTCGTCGGCAGTTATAACGCTTTCCATGAATGTGGGATCGGAATTCGCACAATCAAGTATGCCCAAATGACCTTTTTTCGGCACCCTTTTTGAAAAAAAAGTTCACCTTTACATGGGCAAGTCGAGCAGGAAGACGTTTCGTACCCAAAATATCCATCAAAGTAACTCGAGCGGACTCGCAAGTGGGACGATTTTCAAGCACCACATCCTTAATTTTTTTAATATTTTCATCAGTTGAAAAGGTCGAAGGTTAACCACTAGTAGGGTTGTGTTTTTAATAAAACTGAGTTACCATAAGCCTCTTCCAATATTCGCAACAATTCCTCACGCGAAATTTGGTTAGGAATGGCATAGTAATTAAGGACAGTCCTACCAACTTAACAAAATACATTTTTTGAAATATAGTTTTCCCGGACTCTAAATAACTCTTTTAGTAGGTCACACGCAATTAAAATGTCGCTTCTGACAATTCCTTCATCCTTAGTATTAATACTTATCAAAATGCATACTATTTTCAAAACTAATTCAAAACCTTTATATAACTTTTTGAATTATTCGATTAAAGCATTACATTCACCCTTAGGTGAACACAATATTCTGTACAACAGAGAGTTTATTAAAATTAAAAATTCGCAAAATGGTTTTCAATAATAGATTTCGTAATGCAGATGTCATCAGCTGAACATTTGTTACAAATTAGCTTATTTGTATAATATAATATATAGCAATATGTAATCCATTTTAGGGTGTAAGAAGAAGAAGCGCCAGCCTTTAAAATATATGCCTTAATTTGTGTAATAACTCCAAATTTTATTTGAGGTCTAAATTGCATGTGTTCCTTACAGTTTCATGAACCCTTAACAATACGAACTTCAAAACGCTCTTTGCTTTCAAAAAGCTTTGAATTTAAGCAGTAGTTAGTTAGAAGAGCTTGCATTTTGCACTTTTTTGGTACTAAATTCCAAAATCAATCGTCATATAAACTCGAAAAAATAAATAAATACTAAACACATTCAGCTATTTTTAAGCACTTATTCATCATAAATAAGTCATTAACATTATCTGATTCAAGTGTCGATCAATTAGCCATTAGCCGTCTTGCCATTAGAAGACAAAAAAATCGTTCCGCTATGAAATTCTGTACTTAACAGAAATTTATAAAGAGCTTTTTTAAAAGGCTTTCATGTTACTACCATGGTTCTCAAACTTTCGCCTGCACTTGATCTACTTAGGCTGGCGGAAATAACTTAATTCGCCAAAATCACTAACAAACTTCAATGTCCCCTGAGAAGGCATAGCGGAGTGCAAAGGGATAAAACCTGCTAAAAGTACAATAACTCAATAACTAAGTACGCCAAGAACATTAAATTTTATTTCCAAAATTGTATGAGAGGCGAAACATCCCCTTCTCAGAGTTGAGTGTTGAGTTTGGGATCCACCACGCAGAAAACCCTATCAATAAAAAGAAGATAACGATTTGATTTTAATGACAATCTTTCTCAACATATTAAGGATTATGTTTGAAGGATATGTATCTGGTCCCTTAACTAGGAAGATGCCGATGCCCAGCTGGTTGATGTACTCGTTAGAGTAAAGACTGACATCACCGCCGTCCAAGAAATGCGATGTACGGGACAAGGCATTTAATATAGTAGCCATATAAAGGAGCGCAAATCCCGTGGAGGGAGAGAGACTCTGTTCCCGAGTACTGACATTCACCTCGGTGGATGAACATCTAGCCACAATCCGCATCAAAGTGAAGTTCTTCAACATATCCTTGTTTTGCGCCCACGCCCCGACGCCAGAGTGCCCAAAATTGTCTTCTATGAGCGCTTGGAGCGCACCTATGAGCTTATCTGTAGTAGATTAGTAGTATTAGACGGYAGTAGATTATCTGTGCTAGATTCCAGCATAAGAAAATTCATCAAGCTAACTGGCAGTCTCCGGATCGAAAAGCCATCAACATTATAAATAAAAATATTTACGAAATTTGGTCTTGAGTAAACTCTGTACTTGAAAATATTAATTTCCGGAAATATTATTTTCATTATTTCCTAAAATAATGGTAACAAAATTCCGGTTTGAAAGCCAAACTGAAACTTGTGTGCTGAAAACACAAAAATGGAGGAAATGGTACAACGGCAGCGGAACATAAGTAGGTATTAGTGAGTATAGAATAAATGGTATCAAATTTCCGGTTTGAAAAACACACAGAAAGTTAATACCGGAAAGGGAATCTAAGGATTATTCGATATTAGTACATATATAGCCCGGAATGACAGTACCATATTTTCGGTTTTAAAATTAATTAGCAAACCGGAATAGGAAAAATTATCTGAAATAATGGTTTCTTATTTCCGAGTTGAAAATCAAACCAAGTTGTAAACCGGACCATATTTCCGGTTTGTAAGCGGAACTGGAAGTTGTCAAATACTATTTATTTACCGAAATTAATAACCAGTAACAGGAAATGGAAATATGTCCCGGAATGAGAAAGGCATAAAAGTAGTGCATGACACTTGGACTCAATATCGAAGAAGAAATAACGGTTTCATAACGGCGGAAGAGAAATGGTATGGTAAGGAAGGAAAGAGGAGTTGAAGTGACCGGAAATAAATGTATGGTCCGATTTGAAAGCTGGAAGTTGTAAACCTGAAACGGAGCATGAAGATATTACGAAATCGGAACATAAAAAAAACATATTTCTGGTTTGAAAATCGAACAGTAAGTCCTTTATAAAGCATAATATACGACTCCACTTCAATTATTGATATTTATGTTTTATTAATTACTTCTTGATTTCTGTACTGGAAAGTGAAATTAAAAATTATGTTATTTGGGATGTAAGCGTGGTTGTAGTGCGATTTTAACCATTTCAATTTGGTTTTATTGGCATAGGAGATCTGTACATTAAACTTAATAGAGGAGGGGTTAAGCCCACTTTTCTTAAATTTTTCTTCCCCAGTTACCCTAGCTATTGCGATCCCTTGTGTCAAATCAATGTGTCTTAATAACTATATATGTATATAATARTTTTTGAGACGTTTATTTTCAAAAGTGCATATACATTGGGACAAAAAAATACCCGGAAATTGTAATTAAAATTCATCAGGTAAGTGATACTTCCTCCGTGGAAYCCGTTTTCAGTCAATCAACGAGAAAAWCGTGGGCATGAGTGAATTACATCTGGTGGGCATTACATTGACAAATTAAATATCGATCAATAATTAAATATTTTGCATTTTATTTACAACTTTCGGATAATTTTTTATCTAGAATATATACTTATTTTTACTAAAATGAGAAAATGTTACAAAGAAAATATTTACAGACCTAGTGAAAAATAATATTTCTACTATATATTTTGACAAAAATTGTCATTTACAGCTTGTCATTTAGAGCTACAGAATTCTAAGACATTAATAGTATGAACAAAGCTATATTGGCATAGAAAAAATTATTATATTTGGAAATTAATACTCATGTTAAAAGTTTTTTTATTTGGAAACTATCTAGTTTCGATCCTAATCAAAATTTAATATATAATTTACCATATATTTTATATTTCTTCAATTCCAAGCTTGTGAAAATCGTGTAACAACAAAAGGCTCGATTGTGTCATTCTTATATTAGCTTACATTGTCGGAAATTAAAAAAAAAAAAAATGAGCTAATTGCTGTTCATAAATGATGACAGACTTCTGTGGTATACGAATTCTCACTTTATTTCGAAATGTACTTCTGCTGTATTTATATGTAGTTATATATGGTATGTAACTACCTATGGGGTTTCAACTGCTTTATTGGCAACCAACACACACTTAAAGGAAAATACTCTCGCAGTAAACATTTAAAAGGTTATTAAGAAGGCGGAGAGAGAAAGGGGGACATTAGAATTTTGCATAAATGAGGGGAGTGTAGAAAGTTGACTTCATCGTACGTTTATTGCTGCTTTAGACACTTTACGACACCACTGTTCCACATGCTAAGAAGGTAACTCATACGCCCTGTGGCCTATGCTAAATTACATATCGTCACCTTTTCATAGGTTTACAGGCGAAGGGAAAACGACCTAGCAGAAACCACTCAAATTGAAACAAAATTTGAGTTTTCATTCAAAAAAAAAAAAGTTATATATTAGTTAACATACGCTCATATGGTTATTATAGCTGACCACTATTTATTTTCGATTTTTTTTGGATGATACACTGTTTTGCATTTTGGTTGACGATATATTTATTCAAAGCTATATTCACTAAATAGGGAATAATATTATAATTTTAAGAAGACTTTTAAAGTTTTATTAATATTTAATACCCTCAAATGCAATAATTCAATTTTTAAGCTGCCACTAATAGTATAAGGCAGAACCCCAACTTTTTTCCAAAATAAATTTTTCAAAAACTTAATAAATTTCAAATATAACTTTTCATCATACTTTACTTCACTAGGTGATTAACTTGTTGCTATCATTYCAAAAGTTCATTGGCACCACAACAAAACCCACCTGTCGATGGTAGGAGGACTGGGTGCACCTAAACCAGCGGTGAGTGAAATAGGCACACTCTACGCAAAGTGATTTAACACAAATGCTCACACACGACGTTTAAGCAAATTGAAGGGTATAACTTAGCGACCGACAACGAATATGCAACAGGCGTTTTATTTGAGCAACGAATGAGAGCACRCCATTTGCTAGAGAAGTGAGTGAATGCGAAACTATGAGCGAAGGCAACTGCGAGCGTTGTATATACGAGAAAGCCACAAAATGGGCCAAACTATGCCACATGCACACTTAAATATCGTAAAAGGCACAAAGTGGCAATAAAAACTATGAATTTATATTTCACCCACGCCCCTGCTGATATTCACCGATYCCACATACTGAGARTTCTGCAAATAAATGTGAGAAAATATTTAGTTATAAATAAGTCTTATTAATTTCGACCCTGTGGAGCATACGAGCCACAAAGGAACCGTAAGCAAAGCATAAAAATAATAGTGAAAATGTTACTCAGAAATTCAGTAGAAAAGTGATCGTTKCTGTAAGTTGATGCCGTAAAATCATTTTCATACAATAGTTCTTAAGCCGGGMGGATATTTAACATTGTAAAAAAAGTCCCAGTATTTTGGAATTCTTGAGAAATTTAATGTATGTAAAAACGAAAGTCATTGAAAATATTTTCTATATATTCTGCTGCGATCGGATGCGCTTCTTTAGAATAATAACATGACGCAGCCGCCTAAGCATATATGGAATATCTATGGATTGGAGAA